CTTCTACACTTTTGACTTCGAAATGTGCTTCGCGCCACGACAGCGCGCACTTTTTGAACATCTCAACTGCCAAAAGTGTGCTTCGTGCCACAACGGCATGCACTTTTTCAACATCTCAACTTCCAAAATTGGTCCGACAATGATGTTTTTTCTACACTCTTGACTTCCAAATGTGCTTCGCGCCACAACGGTGTGCACTTTTTGAACATCTCAACTTCCAAATGTGTCCGACAATGGTGTGTTTCTACACTTTTGGCTTCCAAATGTGCTTTGCGCCACAAGGGCGTGCAATTTTTCATCTCTCATCTCCCCAGATGGCTCCGCACCTGCCACTTTAGGGAGCCTACCTTTCGACCCTCTGGAGCCACAAAACTCTGGAAAAACACTGTGCTTTGCGACTTTTCTACCTTTTCGCGTACCTGCATTTTCTTTCTTCTGACTCTTTCTCTTCTCTGACTCTTCCCAACTGCTTTTCCATCTGTCAATATTGTCGGAAGTTTGACTCCTAAACTTCTTTCGAAAACCTTGATTCAGCTAGATAAAACCCAAAACAAACATCAATCAGTAAAACAACTCTAAGTAAACCCTAAACATCCCCAAATAAATCTAAGGCTAAGCCAAAATAAATCCTGAACCCATCCGAAACAGATGCTAAGCAACACCAAATATACTTTAAACCAAGCTTAAATAAACCTCGCACCAACGCTAAATAGGTCTTGAACCATGCCTAGAAAAATCCTAAACCAACGCGAAACAAACCTTAAACCAACCTTGAGTAGGTCCTACACCAGCTCAACCAAGTCTAAATAAACCCTGAAACCAAGCCTAAATAGATCCTAAACCAACCCTAACCAAATATTGAATTAAACCACGCTTAAATAAACCTTAAACCAACCTTAAATAGATCTTAAACAATGCCTAGACAGATCCTAACCCTATATAAACCTTAAACCAACTCTAAAGAGGTCCTAAACCAACTCTAGATAGATCCTGAACCAAACCCGAATACACCCCCAAACCAGCCCTAAAATAATTTTAAACAAACCCTATATAGATTTGAAAACAAACCTACATAACACCCTAAACCAAACCCCATATAAACCCTGAACCGATTTTAGATGGATCCTACACCAACCCTAACAAATTTCAACCAAACCCACATGCACCCTAAAACCAACCCTAATCCTAACCCAACCCTAATCCTAACCCAACCCTAAATAGATCTTAAACCAAACCTAACGAAACACTAACACCAACCCTAAATGAACCCTAAATGAACCCTAAACAAACCTAAATAGATCCTAAACCAAATTTAAATAAATCCTAGAACCAACCCGAAATAGATCCTAAACAAACCCTAACTCTAAAATCAACATTTATAAAACCTAAAGCCAACCAAAAGAAACCCTAAACCAACCCGAAAACATCCTCAAACCAACCCTTAACGAACCCTAGTTGCAACCTACCATGTTCCATGAACAGTTTGAGCACCAAAATGTTGCAAACTTTGCCTGGCAAATGAGAGGTTCGAACTCAAAAACCTGCAAGTGCCGTTGAAATGGCAGTTTCCAGCTCCAAAATGCAGCAAATAGCATGGAAAATGGACAGAGCATGACTGAACAGGAAATAAGAAAAAAAGTCCGAGAACGGGAAAAACATCCCCAAACAACTCCGGACCTGAAAAATAGATAAAAATAGTGCTTGAATCTTTGGCTGCTGTATAAATCTATCCCCCAGCCTAACATCTCTGGCCGAGGCGCCATGGGGATCAGCAATTGATGCAGTTGATGCATCGAATTGCACGGCCGTCAGTCGTGATTTGGAGCCATTGCGAAATCTAGAAATTGATGGTAGAAAAGGCTGCAACAGGGGCAGTATCCCGCTGAATTTCAGAAGATGATGGTAATGACTGGCATGACTTTTTAGGCAGAAATGTGAATCTGACGACAGGTACCATATAAAATGGCGAAATCAAGACTATTTTTGTTTGATCTCAAGCACCATGACGTTGGGATGACCATCATTCCCGGAGTCGAGATGGTGAAGCGGTCGAGATGTCGAGAGGGATTGAATTAACAAAAAAAATAAAAAGCTTGATGATCAAATTTCCCAGGATGCGCGGCGCCAAAGTAGCTCCACCACAGAAAATTTCGAAAGGAATTGTGGGACAAAAACTCGAAATTCGACCGTTTTGAGTTGGCGTGTCAGGGTAACCGGGTAACCCTGGGCCTTCCAACAGCTTTCAATGATTTGCTTTATTCTGAGACGCGCGTCTCGCAGAAGTACCATAGCTTCTTGCACGTCTCCAGGGCCGGCAAGGAGCAAAGATGTTGTGCACCCTGCTGCACCCTGCTGTGGGAAACAGTGGGAACGGACACAAAACAGGTCTTTCAAATGCTCGTCGCGTGGGGAATTTGGCTTGCTTGCTCGCATACATGGATATTGACATCTATATTAGTCTATATTCCCAATATTTCCCAACGATATGTTGCCAGTCTATGTGTTCGTCTACATATATATATAAAATTTCACAACTAGTTCGCACAAACACACACACAAATACATAAATATATAAAAAAAGGACCGGATAACCCCACATGTCAAGCCTTTATGTATTTGAGCTTAATGTGAACTTCGGGGAGGTGTGAGAAGTGAGGTGTGAGAAGTGGACTTGTGATGTCAGGTGTGAGAAGTGGAGCTGTGATGAGTTCTGATGTGATAAGTGGTGTGAGAAGTGGAGCTGTGGTGAGTTGGGATGTGATAAGTTGTGATGAGAAGTTGTGATGTGATATGTGAGGTGTGAGAAGTGGAACTGTGATGGGTTGGGATGTGATAAGTTGTGATGAGTTGTGATGAGAAGTGGACCTGTGAGAAGTGATGAGAAGTGGACCTGCGAGAAGTGGAGCTGTGATGAGTTGTGATGAGCAGTGGAGCTGTAATGAGTGAGGTGTGAGAAGTGGAGCCGTGATGAGTTGGTATGTGATAAGTTGTGATGAGTTGTGATGAGAAGTTGTGATGTGATAAGTGGAGCTGTGATGAGTGGTGATGATAAGTCTGCCACACGAAAGGCAGCCGCGGCCCAACGGCGACCACGCGCGCCGCAGCTCCGCCTGGCAGCTCTGTGTGCAGCGCCTGCCACACGAAAGGCAGTTGCGGCCCAATGGTGACCACCCACGCCACAGCTCTGCCTGGCAGCTCTGTGTGCTGCGCCTGCCATGCGAAAGGCAGCCGCGGCCCACGGCGACCACGCGCGCCGCAGCTCCGCCTGGCAGCTCTGTGTGTCGCACCTGCCACGTGAAAGGCAGCCGCAGCCCAACGGCGACCACGCGCGCCGCAGCTCCGCCGGCCAGCTCTGTGTGCTGCGCCTGCGACGCGACAGGCAGCCGCGGCCCAACGGCCACCACGCGCGCCGCAGCTCCGCCTGGCAGCAGCTCTGTGTGCTGCGCCTGCCACGCGTGGTCGCCGCGCCGCAGCTCCGCCCGAAGGCTCTGTGTGCGCGAGAGGCAGCTGCGGCCCAACGGCGACCACGCGCGCCGCAGCTCCGCCTGGCGGCTATGTGTGCTGCGCCTGCCACGCGAAAAGCAGCCGCGGCCCAACGGCGACCACGCGCGTCGAAGCTCCGGCCGGCAGCTCTGTGTGCTGCGCCTGCTGACCACGGAGCTGTGATGAGTTGTGCTGTGATAATATGATGAGTGAGGTGTGAGAAGTGGAGCTGTGATGAGTGGTGATGTGAGTGGTGATGTGAGAGGCGAGGATGTGATAAGTGAGGTGTGAGAAGTAAGTGTGAGAAGTGGAGCTGTGAGGAGTGGTGATGTGATAAGTGATGTGAGAAGTGAAGATGTGATAAGTGAGGTGTGAGAAGTGGAGCTGTGATAAGTGAGGTGGTTGATGTTGATGAGTTGTGCTGTGATAAGTGAGGTGTGAGAAGTGGGGCCGTGATGAGTTGTGAAGGCGGTGCGGCGGACGGACGGAGGAGAAGCGGCGGGATCCAAGCGAAAAACAAGAACCCCACACAGTGATGTGGGGAATACATGGGAATACATAAACTAATAGATAGATAGATAGATAGATAGATAGATAGAAATAGATAGATAGAAATAGATAGATAGAAATAGATAGATAGATAGATAGATAGATAGATAGATAGATAGATAGATAAACAAATAGACAAATAAATAAACATATACACACACATATATATATATACATACATATGTGCATGCGTATACGTATATACTATATGTATATTTCAACTGGATTCAATTCGACCCCCCGGAATCCCCATCCACATGAGGTACGGCTAAGCAAGGGGTCTCTTAAGCGCCAGCTCAAAGCATTGTTGAAGCCTAAAATGAGCACCCCAATTTGGATGAGTCCCTTGACCCACACCTCTCCTACTCAAAGGTGCTGCGTCTCAACGCAATCTGGAAACGACGAAAACGGTGCCGAAATGTGCCGAAGATATTGCCAATCGAATGGCCCACGAAGGTTGGAAACCAAAGGATTGCTTCACAGATCCTGGGTGGATCAAAGGCTATGTTTTTGTGTTTTGAGACGCCCTGGAAAACAATGGAAAACACATTCCCCAATATTCCTTGCATTACAGGGGAAAATCAGAATCGTTTTCCGCCTCCTATGTTTTTAGGAACACATTTCCATAGCCACTCCCGTAGAAATTTCTTGGTTCTCGAGCCACAAGCGCAACCCGGGCCATTGTGGCACTCAGTGATTTGGGTATATTTGGGTATGGGTCAAACCAACTCATCTTAGACCAACACGTTTTGCAAGGGAAATGGGCACAAGATGGACGTGATTTGCGACCCTTGGCATTTACACATACACACATGCAGCGGGGCGCCAGTTTCAGTTTCCTTTGATGTCCTCGACTTCAGATTTGGAACCTATAAACAGACTGGATCTTTTGGTTCAAGCATTTGATGCCAACCTAAGCCGGGCAATTCCCAGTTTCAATTCCCCTCTTGGAACGGTGATCGAAAACCATGACTATGTCCGGACTCTACGCCTTGGTGGCCCTATTCCTCACAGTGGCTCTGCAGGGCTGTGGCAATGGTGCAACTTACAGCAGCATGGAGGAAGCCTTGACGCAGATCTGTCAAGGGTCATCATGCGGTGCGTCGTGCAGGTGCCACCGGTGGGTGGGAGTTTACATATTGCACTTCTGATGTGACAGATTCGGTGATGAAGATTATCCATCAAGACAGGCATTTTGGAATAGTACGAAATTAGAAAGATTGTGTGATATTTCATCCCTTTCAAATTGCTGCTTTCTCATGACTGTTAAAGTTGCCTCCCATGTTCCAACCGGATTCAAATCAACCTTGCGGGATACCCACCCGCATTAGGTACTGCTGAATAAGGGTTTTCTTAATAGGTCTCATTCAAATCGCCAGCTCAAAGCATTTTCGAGGTCCCTAAAATCATCAGCCCAATTTGAATCAGTCCCTTTCTTGACCCACGCCTCTCCGACTCAAAGGTGCTGTGTATCAACTCTATATCTGATGGGTGAAACCTGTGCCGCAGATATCGCCAAGGGACTAACACCACAGGACTCCCAGACGTGCGGTTCGTGCATCAGTGCGTACACTGAAGGTTGGAAACCAGAGGATTGCTTCACAGATCCTGGGTGGATCAAAGGCTATGTTTTTGCGTTTTGGGGCACCCTGGAAAAGACACTCAGAGTCATATTTCCGGTTCCTATGTTTTAAGCAAAACATTTCCATAGCCACTCCTGTTCTCGAGCCAGGAGCGGAACCTGGGCCATTGTGGCACTCAGTACTGGACCAACCAGAGGGGAGAATGCCAAAAGTACAATTCGACCTGTGGTGAAGGATACATGGGTGAACTCAGTTAAAACCCCTGAGACTTCGGCTAAGTCGAAGTTTTGCCGTGGTGGAACTCGGCTGAGGAGCCGAGGGTTTCGCACACGTGCCGCACAGAGGAAGACATGGTTGTACAGTTGTACAGAGGTGAGGGAGCCAGGAATGTTTCATTTTCCTCAGTTCATGGGGCGTTGAGGAGCTAACCCTTGAAAAGGAGCTCATTCTGGAAAACCTGTGGCGCGTGGGTCAGGGTCGTGACCCCCAAGCTGCTTGAGTTTCGGCGAGCCCAGGGAACTTTCCATGAGGATGGACATGCGCCCGAGGACCAACACTGAACACCTCCCCAAGTGATTTGGGTAATTTTTGGTCAAACCAACTCATCTTAGACCATCACGTTTTGCAAGGGAAATGGGCACAAAATGGATGTGATTTGCTACCCTTGGCATTTTCCTCTCAGTTCCATATGCATGGCCAGCGCAACAATGGGCACTTTAACGCTCTACTCTTAGATTCTTAGATATTTGGCCAAAAAACACCCAGATCCCAATCTAAAAAGGGAACGAGTGACATAATTATTCCATATTAGTCCATATCACAGCTTTCAAACCCATCATGGAGTCAAGCACACAGCGGAGCGCCGTTTCCACGTAGAAAGCAAGAGCCTCTGGATTCGGTCCAACCAATGGGGGTAGAAGAAGCTTTTGTTCCAGGACGGGGGTTGAGTTGTTTGATGGACCCAGCAGCAATATGCAACCATCTAGTATCCACCAAAAACCATTGGGATTTAATGGATTTATGGATTCAATGAGATTTGATGAATTTAATGGGATTGATTTTTGAAGGTCAATGAATTAATTAAAAGGCAGGAATACAGGTCATTGTCTCATTGTTGCATTTTTGATCCCAGTCTGGCAAGTCTGGGAGCAAGGTGAGAACTAATTTGCTGTCCAGGCCAGAGTCTAGGCCCTTGGCACACTAAAACATGAGAGACACGGAGACACATTGTCACAGTGATTGTTGATTGGGAATCCCTGCGGCTGTGAGAGTTGTGGTTTGGTTTCTCTTGCATGACCTCCCATACGTCCCCCCATGAGTGTTTTGGACCCATTCGGTTGAAAACCGCAATGATATTGGATTGCCATTGGATTGCCAATAGGTCAACCAACGAAAAGAAATGGACGTCACCCCCATGGCACGTGTAAGCGTTGAGGAGCCGTCGAATCTGCGCATGAGATCGATGAAGAACATTGGAAACAGGTGTGCACAGCGCCTACTGCTTCTGTGACTGGTCGCGGGTGATTCCTTCATTATGTTCATGAACAGAACCCATTTTGCATGGTTTCCTGATGTTTCCTGTCCATTTTTCCCTGATAAGTTGTGGTTGTTGATCAAGTAGCATCTTGGATATCGTTTGGTCCGTTGGCATGCCAATCGTTTGAACATGTTTGAAGTGTATTTGCCTTTGGTAATCAAACATGGCTTGCTGGACCACCTCCCATTTTCCATGGCACCTGGGATTTGGGATGACGCCAGGTGAATCATGCCATTGACCTCTTGTCGTCCGTGGTGGTAGCTGGTCACAAGCAGGCGAGGGCGACTCGCTTGCCATCATCCTGATTTATAATGATATATATATATAGATACAGTATAGAGCGGGGATTCGGGGATTTGGCACTTGGTGGCTCGGTCGGTCCGTCCCTCTGTCGGTCAGTTGGAACTCCACTGATTTTTGTAGGGTAAGTTGGTCCGTGCCTTTGATTGTTTCGCTATGTGTCATATGTCATTTGTTAAGAACCAGATGAGTTTGATGCGGTTTCATAAGTAGGGTTGGCCGTCATAACTGGGATAGAGAAACATAATTGCCAACTGGGGTGAATCACCAATCATGGATTATGCCAGCCAGCCATAATGGGGATTTCATGATGATTACCCAACGAGAGTGGGGGAAACCCCTTTGCCGCGCCTTAATTTTGGACCCCACCGTTATTTATTGATTTATTCATAAATAAACAAATGAATAAAAAACACGCACACACACACATATATATAAATATGCACAAAAATAGAAAGTTCAGTATCAATACAAAGATACAAAGACAAAAAACAGATTAAAACGTAAATACGTAAATAAAAAATATTTACACACACACATATATATGTAAATATTTACGTATATATATGTAATATATGCATACACACACACATATATATATATAGATATATCTATATCTATATATATATACATATATATATACACATATATATATATACATATGTATATATATATACATGTATCTATATATACATATATATATATGTACGTATATATATACATGGTGCATACATACACGATACACACATGATACATACATGCTACATACACGATACATACATGATACATACATGATACATACATGATACACACATGATACACACATGATACAGACATGATACATACATGCTACATACACGATACACACATGATACATACATGCTACATACACGATACATACATGATACATACATGATACATACATGATACACACATGATACACACATGATACAGACATGATACATACATGCTACATACACGATACACACATGATACATACATGCTACATACACGATACATACATGATACATACATGATACATACATGATACACACATGATACACACATGATACAGACATGATACATACATGATACATACATGATACATACATGATACATACATGATACATACATGATACATACATGATACATACATGATACATACATGATACATACATGATACATACATGATACATACATGATACATACATGCATACATACATACATACATACATACATACATACATACATACATACATACATACATACATACATACATACATACAATTACATACAATTACATACATTACATACAATTACATACAATTACATACAATTACATACAATTACATACAGTTACATACAATTACATACAATTACATACAATTACACATACACAATTACATACAATTACACATACATACATACATACATACATACATACATACATACATACATACATACATACAATTACATACATACAATTACATACACACATACATACATACATACAATTACATACATACATACAATTACATACATACATACATGCATGCATGCATGCATGCATACATACATACATACATATATACATACATACATATATGCATATATACATATATACATATATGCATATATGCATATATACATATATACATATATACATATATACATATATACATATATACGCATATACATATACAATTATATACACATACGCATACATATACATGTACATGTATATATATATACCTACCTACCTACCTACATACCTACATACATACATACATACAGACAGACAGACAGACAGACAGACATACATACATGTATATGTACATATACATATATATATCCAATAATAAACTAAGTTCTGGGGTGTGTCTGCAAATCCCGTGCATTTCGTTGTGGTTTGCATGGCTCGTTGCTGTCATACGACATCCTGACTTTGGATCCAGTCCCAGTTGAAAAATGTGCGAAATCCATGCCCGGCTATGTCAACGGTGTTCATTTGTGATATTGTCAGGAATCACAGGATTTAGCTGCGGAATTGCGATGCCACATCCTGTCGTTGGGGCAAAATGTCTGGGTCTCAGGTGTCAGTTCCAACAGTTTTTTCATACATACAGTCTTTTAGAATCTTTTAGATATTTTCTCATGTCCCTTTTTTGAAGACGAACCTTGCCGACTCGCAGTGCGACTGGCTTCCAACTTGCAGGGCGTTTTGGTTCAAAACAGCCCTAACTTCTATCCTGTGCTGCAACAAGCGTGCCTTCAAGAGACTCTGCTGCAGCTGGGAGTCTCCACCGTCTCCAGTGCACAAACCGCCCAAACCGTTGTTTTCGCTCCTCCAATAGTCGATCAAATCCAAAATTTCTGACAGCATATCCAATGCTGCCCCATTGCCAAACAGATCAAAGGCAACTTAGGCAACTTCCGAATTTTCTTCAAACGTTTTCCCGAGGAAAATCACATCTTCCCGGGCTGCTTCCTCAGCCAATATTACCCCTATTCGTTTGTGCTTTCCGCGGAGAACGTGGCTGGATTGGTGGTCGACCCCGGACCACGACGTTGTTTTCAACGTCCTTCTCGGGCGGTGGCGGGGCCAATTTTAATCGAACATTTTGATGTTGCTATCTGTATTGTCCGGAGGAGATATCCAGTATCCCCATTTCTGAGAAGTTATACAGAAGTTATCAGGCATAACCTCCATTTTGGTGTGGACATCCATTGTGTGAAATTTCTTGTACGAACTTCTGTGTTCCAAGATCGGGCTGCGGAGTGGAAGGGTGCGTGATGACGACTGAGGACAAGAGATCATTATATAATGATTAGTGTAACTTGCGCATGTAGCGAAATTCAAAGGCATGAAGAAGATCAGTCTGTGGTAGATGAGGTTACGTGTTGGACGACGTATGTGCCCTATTTCTCAACACTTGGGCGGGGGCCGCTGGTTTATTGTTGGGGGGCAGGGTTGCTTCATTTATTTCTGAGTTCGTGGCAAGTGCAGTCTCCAGGGCCGGGCCGGGTTCATTTTGAGAAGTGCAAACCAAAACATGGTGTTTGCTGTGTGGCGGGGCAGCCTTCCAAATTGGGACGCGTCAACAATACCTATGGACCATTTGGGTGGACGAGTTCGCCCATAACAACCACTACCATATATGGTTATCGTAGATTTTGGTGAACACTTGAGGTTCCGGGTTCCGGAGTGTCCTGCACCCAGAATTACCCAAGCAGATATGGGTCAAGACTGTTGGATCCCCTAAAATGCATGGTGTTTATACATGCAATCTCCGAAAACATGAGGAATTTTCAGGTCCATTTGGCACCGATCACCCGAAATATCAGAAACGTCGCGCCTGTAGGTTTCCCCTGCTGATTCCAGGTCACTAACGGTCACGACCGTACCTCAAGAAACGACCAGATTGTGGAGCAAAGACGTTTCGTTGCTGCCCACATCATGTCGGCCCTCTCTATGTGCCTTCAGGTGCTTTTCATTCAGGTTACTGGGTGATGGTTTTTAAAGTTTTTTAAAACCTATTTTTGACTTTCTCCTTACCCGTACCTTGATCCTCATACAACCAAAATCGCTCATGATGTCCTACTTTGCAAGGTAATACACTACTTTGGTTTCAAACCTAATGACAATATATGACAATGATGATCCCCAACGTTTGGTCGTGGTGTTTTTCCGCACGCCAAGAGACGTCCACGGGGGCACCTTACCTTGTTCACAAAGGCAGCCATGGTCTTTGCCAACTTCGATCCATAGAATCACAGGAACACACATCTCCAGTGTAAGATCCAATTTACAAGTTAACATGAGAGTTGCTGCCCCAACCCCATGACGTAACGTAGCACATCTCTAGCAGGACACCTCTATAACATAAGATCCAATGTACAAGTTTAGCATCACGTGAGTGTGCAAGTGCCAAGGGGCGTTATTGTCCCCCCCCGGCACCCGACCCCACAGCAAACACTGACGTTCATGGAGAATTATGCGCCCAAACCATGCGTACCTATGGGGTTTGCGTCAAAAAAACGCAGGTTTACTGCACGACCGCACCACCAGAGGTCACTACGTTGCTTGCCTGGGGCCATGAACTCGTGGATGACACTTGTGAGAGCGAAATCGTGGCCTACCACCGGCTGTTCACCGTGGCGGCCGTGGGGTTCATCGCTGGCGGAGCCCTGACCATCCAGACCCCAGTGGCCTCTGCGGCCTTGTATGTCATCTGAGGCTGCTCTGGTGGTTGACAACAGCAACTGAGTGCCAATGCAACTGGTTCACACGTAATGTGAGTCGTGGTGAATACCACCACTGCCTTGGAAAAATGCTCAGAACTGTACATGTGTTCTGAGAGAACTGTATTGCCTCTCCCAATTTGGCAGCTGCCACTGGAAGGTTGCATGTGTTCAAAAAAAGCGCGCTCAGCAGGCGGAAGGGTTGAACTGCCGTGAGAACCTTGAGGTTTAGGCTTGATGCAGCAAGTTCAATCGATCTATCCCAGTTGAATCTGAAATGAAAGATTTCACTATCACAGAAGACTTCTACTCATACATCTGATGCCACGAGAAGTCAATTGGGCCAGTTACAGCCCGCCGGGGAAGCACCTCCTCAGGACAAATTGTGGCAACTTCGGCTCTCCAATGCTCTGCAGCAGGTGATTTCTGGCCTGCTGGGTGTGCAAAATAGAGTAGAGGGTCAGAATGGTGACATTTGTGACCTGAAACAACCATGCTTCCCAACATGTACTGTATATTCTATTTATATAATTCTATTTATATTCTAAAGATCTAAGATATTTATAGACTATATATGATATTTATATTATTTGGGCATATGCAGTATATAAAGACATTTCTTGGTACACAACTAGAGAACATCAGAGAGATTTGGGTGTTTTTTTCAGTCGGCACCGGCGTTTCCAAGCCAGGCTGAAGCCCTGCGGCGTGAGCTGAAGAAACACGAAACGGTCTTGGACCAGGCCTGGATCCACGATCTGATGAGCTTACCAAAAGTCCTCTAGGTGAGGATAGGTGTATAATGCACACATACATATAGATACATATAGCATATTACATATATATATATATATGTATATATGTACAACTATGTATAATTACATATGCATATATATATATATTTGCAATTAAACGTGCGCATATCCCTTTATATTTACATAGTCATAGATGTTTGCATGAGGCACACTTTTGCTCTCTCAGGTCCTAGAGGAGGGTTTTCTTGTCCTATTCGGAGGATGGAAAGTAAAGTGGCAAAGTCTCTTGGATGGTGGGTATGTTTTGCCATGGTTGTAGATACCCATATTTCTAGTTACAATGTGATAGGCTAGCCTAGACGACGGTTCTAGACGATTAAGATATTGTAGTACATTGATGTACATTGTATCATCGCAACCCCAAACGAGATAGAAAACGTATGAAAAAGTGACATCCTACCAAACAGTGATAAAATATATCTATACATACATCTACATTTTCACGTTGTAGTTTCTTCTTTGGGCACCCTTTGGTAAACTAACATAGCTATGGAAAATCACAATCTTTCATAGGTAAACCAACTATTTCTATGGGCCATTTTCAATAGCTATGCAACAAATTACCAGAGGGTAATTCCCATCAATATCCCAATTGTTGGTAAATCCCTACATCAATCACCATGAAAATCCCTATGCGTTCCCATGAAATCCCTATGAAATCCCATGAAATCACAATTTTTAGTCACTTATGATGGTTAGTTTACTTTTTCACCATCATAACCATAGGATTTCACCAATGGTTATATAACCCACGCGGCTTCATGGCGTCATCGCCAGGTGCAGGGAGGCCTGGACTCCGCGCAGGCGGAGAGAGCATCGCTGATTGGGGAACTGGAGCGCCTTGGTGAGGCACAAGTTGAGTCATAGGAGATCATAGGAGGTACGCTGGATATACATTGAGATATGATATCCATATATTGATATATTATACATGAGATATATGTGTTAAGTTTTTTCACATCACCTGTATATATATATATTTACAGATATATATATTTACACATATATATATACATATATATATATTTACATATATACAAATATATATATATATTTACATATATATATATTTATATTTACATATATATATATTTACATATATATATATTTACATATATATATATTTACATATATACAAATATATATATTTACATATATATATATTTATATTTACATATATATATACATTTATTTACGCATATATATATATATAATTATTTATTTATTTACATATTTATATTTACATATGTATACATTTACATATATATACATATTTACATACATATATATTTATATATATATATATTTATTTACATATATATATATAAGAATATTTACATATGCATATATATTTACATATGTATATATTTACATATATTTATATATTTACATATATATATTTACATATATATATATTTACAGATATATATTTACATATATATATATACACATATATGTATTTACATATATACAAATATATTTACATATACATATATATTTACATATATATTTATATTTACATATATATTTATATTTACATATATATTTATATTTACATATATATTTATATTTACATATATATTTATATTGACATATATTTGCATATATATATATGTATATTGACATATATATATATATATTTACGTATATATCTATTTACACATATATATATATATATATATATTACGTATATATCCCCCCCCAATGGTATCCTCCTAACCCCCCCCACCACCATATTTGCATATACATATATACACATATACACATATATACTCCCCTTTCCACCCCTCCAACCTCGCATCTCTACGTTATTTGCAGCACTTGAGAGCCACGACCTCGTCAACGGACCTTGTCTACCTGTATATTTCTATCATAACCTTTTTTTCGAACCGCCTATAGCGTGCCTCGCACATGGTTTACAACATATTTGCTACCTATGGATTACGCAAAGCTTACCTATGCAAACCTAGACATATGTACAGTAGAAAAACAATAAATACATATATATATATGCACATTCTAGATACTACAGATTGATATCTTGATCTTGTATCTATCACATATTTCGTTTACATTGTACATACTGTACACGTATATATATATATATACATATATATATACATAAACTCTAGATATACAGCGTGTATTGCTGTCGATATTCAATATACCACATATACTATGTAAAATTTATTCAACGAACATATTAACCTATATTGTATATATTACATCTACTGTGGATACAGTACATGTGGCATATACTATCTATATTCTATCAAAAACCACATATACGATGTATATATATATGTTCAATATATATATATATATGTCAAATATATATATATATATATATATTATATATATATAGATTGCATATATTCTATTTATATCTTACATATTATATATATGTTTATATATATATATATACACTACACATACACTCTATATTACATATAGTATATCCATTCTAATTATTGATACATATGCATTATATGCACTATAAAGACTACATACACCATGGCTTGGCTGCTGAGAAAACCACCCCTCCCCTGCCACAGGGGGGGGGAACCATCTGGCTGGGTGGGGGGGGGGTGGGGGTCCCTGCTCTAATTATTGATACATATGCATTATATGCACTATAAAGACTACATACACCATGGCTTGGCTGCTGAGAAAACCACCCCTCCCCTGCCACAGGGGGGGGGGGGAACCATCTGGCTGGGGGGGGGGGTGTGGGGGTCCCTGCTCATATATTCACATATTTACATATGTATATATATATATATGTGTGTGTTACAATGTATGGGTTCAGTCTGTGTGGGGAATCGCAGCTCCGAGGATGATCACCCAACAGCTTGGTGACCCGGAGGCCGTGACGACTCGGTGGTGGTAGGGGTAGGGTTTCCATATCGAAGTGTTAGTTTACAGGAAGGTAACTGTCAAGAATGGGATTTGAGATGGATTTTCCAACCACCAATCATGCAAGCAACGTGGATTGATAGAAACATGATGGAAAACTCGGCAAACCATAGTTTTACATGTTTTACGTTTAACTACAAGGGTTCCCGGGAAAAACAATAAGCTGGGAATCAAGCCTGGCTATCCGCAGAAAGGTTATCCGACCCATTCGCCATTCCTTTGGTGGAGGTTGTCAGGTTGGGTGTTTGCTTTTCAGATGCTATCCTTTGTAACTGTCAGTTGGGCCTTCCTATTTCCGAATTTCCTCATTGACTGCGACCATGAGTTACTATTGTGTTATTTGTTTTCCAACTGTCATAAGAAGTTTGCCAAACGGATCCAGATGGTCTTCAGTTCGCACCTTTCCCCAACATCGCTGGGGGTTTTCAGCTGCCCTCAGACAGAGAAGTTGTGCTTGGAAATGGAGGAAACGGAACAGCACTTGAAGGAGGTCAGCTGCGGCGCATTGCATGTGCATGATCAAATGGGTGGATCGTATGAAAATTAGATATTCTACGATAGAAATTTCAAGCGACAAATTCCAAGCGACTTTAACCCATATACCATCATATACCCATCATTTGAGTGTAGGTCACACCTGTCAAAATGATTCCACAAATTCTTGGGTGAATGCTATAGGAATCCACAATTTTTCTGGTTTCCTGGGAGTTGATTGGCATCTGCCCAGACCAGCGGCAGGTTCTGAAGGGTTTGGAAGTTGTGGAGGCAGAGAGAGCTTCACTGACGATGCGTGGCTGCAGGTGGTTCCCCCATCAGAAAAACTGTTAGAATTTGTTGGATCTTCCCTCTGGTAATCTAACATAGCTATGGGAACTCACCGCTTTTAAAAGGTAAATCATCTATAAACGGGCAATTTTCCATGGCGATGTTAAATTACCAGGGTGTATCCATTTTGATTTTTCAAAATTTGTGGCACATAACATGACAGGAGAGGATAAGGGACATAGCACAGCTGAACCCCCCCCATACAAACCGTGGGAAAACCATTGTTGTTCCAGTAGATCCCCCCTGAAAAATAAATCCCTCAATGATTTAAAAACTCATGATTTCTCATTGTCCCCGACTTAGTCGGTTTGGACAAATTACAGGACCCTACAGTATATTTCGAGGTAAAGCAACCTTTTTAAACCGCACAATTTCCCAAGAAAACCAATCCATTGGGAGATATTGATATTATCCCAGCGGCAATGAAACATGGCAATGGAAAATCCACCATTTATAGGTGATTTTCGCATTAAAACATCCATTTTGATCAGGGATTTCCAAGCCAGCCACCTTTGATTTCTGGTTCGCTATAGCCCATTAAATCCCATTTGTATCCCACTTATATCTCATAGATTACCCGAGGGTCGTTTCTCTTTTCCCAACTGGTGAAGCTGCTGAGGATTGAAACCGAGGAAAGCGAACAAACTGAGCTGGAAGAGGTGAATGGGGCTGGCACTTGATGAAGCGGAGATGCGTGGATAGCACAAATTTTTAAGCCCTATGCGACCATAGATTTGAGCATACGTATGTTTAATATTAACCATCTATATAATTATTGGGGTACCAAATTTTGACCCATACCCGGGTAGGTAGATAGATGGATGGATGGATAGGTAGATAGATGCATGGATATAGTAGATGAATAGATGGATAGATGGATAAATGGATGGCTGGCTGGATGGCTGGATGGATGGATAGATCAGTGGATAGATAGATAGGTAGATAGATAGATCGTTAGATAGGTACATAGATAGATAAATCAGATTAGATCAGATTAGATTGGATTAGCTTGGTTTTGATTAGATAGATTAGTTAGATTAGATTAGATTAGGTTGGATTAGATTAGATTGGAAAGGCAAATAGATGCCGTGGAGGATATATAGTAGATACTCAGTGAGAATGTCGGGGATAGATGATGTACTCTTCACTGCAATATGATCTAATCATCCCGTGTTCAGGGAATTATGTTTCGACAAGTTGTGGCAAAAGAGAAACACTACTTTCGCGTTCCTTCTTGTCCACGTAGTGTGTTTGTTTTGCGTGTTTCTTAATGTCTTGGCTTCCTGTCGGTCACAACACAGTGACGGTTTTGTGCCATCCAAAACTCTTTGAAGAACATCACCTCAACATACCTCAACATTCTGGTAGTAGATTGACCTGCCGGTTTTGGCCCATACCAGAGGATGACAGGGTTGAGTTGCAACCCAAGCCTTGCTTGTAACCACCCCCAAAAAGATAAAAGGGGAAAGCACCACAAAAACGGAGCTCCATACAGGAACAATTCAATGGCACACATACGAGCACGACGTAGTACCGTTCCTTTTGCTCCCTTTTTTGTTTCTCTCCCCCCTCCCTCCCTCCCTACCTCCCTACCTCCCTACCTCCCTACCTCCCTACCTCCCTGCCTCCCCCCCCTCTCTCTCTGTCTCTCTCTCTCTGTCTGTCTGTCTCTCTCTCTCTCTCTCTCTCGCTCGTTTTTTCCAGGGGTCTTGAAAAAGGTGGCTTGCAAGGGAAAGCGGGAAGATGTTTCAGACACTCTAGCCGTTGCTAGCCGTTGCCTTGATAGAGCTCCGAAGTATTGTTTGAGCCACTGCCAACTCCAGGAGGTCCTGAAGGATGTGGAATTGGCAGAAGCAGAAAGCGCCTCAACAACCACGGAGCCGGAGCCGCTCTGCAGCAAGGGAGAAATAAGGCAACGATGCCGGAAGGAATTCTGTAGCTGTGTGGATGATGCCACGTGTATTTCTTTCTGCTGAGCTTTCTATTTTTCTTGCCTTTAGTTCATGCTGTGCCTTGTTGAAAATTGCAGCAAGGAATGGTGGCAAAGAGCAGGTGGAGACTGATCACCAGGAGGCCGTTTGAGTGAACAAAAACGCGAGCGCCATCCCACTTTGGAGTTTTGTTGCGCTCTACAGGTCACTGAAGCTGCAAAGGCTGAGGCTGCCGGATGCTCATTTCCAGTAACTTACAGCCACTTTCTGATGGAGGGATTCCAAACGTGGCCTGGTTCTGCACTTTTCACGGTTCCATGTGAAATTGGATGAACCCAACTGACTCCAGCGGACGTCGGGGATCTCATGCCAGGCAGGTCCACAGCACACGCAAACTGAGGTGCCAGCCTGGGATTTGCCTTCTGGTCCCATTTTCCCCAATGGGGAGTTATCCAACGATAATAGAAATAACATGAAATAACCATAGTTGTAATGATAATAGCATCAATGCCTAAAAACCAACAATAACAACAATAGTAGAATTATTGCTAACAACAATAACGAAAATGGATGGATACACAAGCAACTACAAGATATTTAGCATCTGGGCGTGTCGGAGAATGTGGGATGTCCCTAATTTATTGAACATTTAGTGGCAAAAATCATGATCAAATTTCAAGTACCCTCTGGTAATTTGTGACAGTTTGCTATTGAAGCCATGGCCATAGAAATAGTTTATTTTTCCATTAAAAATGGTGATTTTCCATAGTTATGTGAGTTTACCAGAGGGTATTGGATTTGGGGTTGCTCCACTTCCACTTCCATCCGAAGTTTCCAACTTGAGAGTTGCCTGGGCGAAGATGTCGAATTCACAGTTGACCTCAGACTGCAACAGCCTTTTGAGTCGCCTGTGGAGTATGACTCAGTATGACAAGCACTTCAATGATTAGATACATGGGGATTTTCAGAAATGGGGCTATACTCCCAAATGGGTGGTTTAATAATGGAAAATGCTACTAAAATGGATGATTTGGGGGTACCCCCATTTATGGAAACCTCCATATTACTGTATATGTATTTCACAGGTAGAAGCCTTGAAACACATTCAAAGCCTTGAACAAATCCAATGTATTGTTTGAGCCACTGCCAACTCCAGGAGGTCCTGAAGGATGTGGAATTGGCAGAAGCAGAAAGCGCCTCAACAACCACGGAGCCGGAGCCGCTCTGCAGCATGGGAGAAATAAGGCAACGATGCCATAGCTGTGTGGATGATGCCACGTGTATTTCTTTCTGCTGAGTTTTCTATTTTTTTGCCTTTAGTTCATGCTGTGCCTTGTTGAAAATTGCGGCAAGGAATGGTGGCAAAGAGCAGGAGACTGATCACCAGGAGGCCGTTGGAATGAAAACCAATGCTGGATAGCTGTCCTAAACTTTCTAAGAATTTTGCTGTAGACCACTCGTTTTAGTATGACCTTGCCACATCTCTTTAGCCGACTTTAGACCGTTAGTTTTTTTTTGGTGGGGGGGCAGGTCAATGAAGTGGCAAAGACTGAGGAGGCCAACGCATGTCGGGCAGAAAGTCCTCAGGAACCACCAGCTGAGGCACAATGTTGGGCACTAGCTGATGGTTATCCACATGTAAAAGTCCCGAGTATGGGTATGATTCGATAATATTTGCCAATCTTAATTTGCTTACATATTCGTTGGAGCCATCATTTCATTTACCGATCCTAAGTTTGTTCCTTCTACATGTACTACACGCGTGCCCATTTCCTTTCTTGGGACTGGGGCTTCAGATTTTAGCTTCGAAGAATCAAAGTAATGGCATGTAGGTGTTTTGAATTGTTTTGATGCGCAACATGTGGTTGTAAAACCATTCTCTGGAATGCTTCATGTGTAGACGGAGGATTTTGAGGCTTGTGGGCGGTCATGACTTTCTGGCAGATGTGGCTGAGTCTGGTGCCAGGCTCTGAAAGAGGTGGCAGAAGCAGAAAACGCCTCAACAACCACCGAATTGGAGCCGCTTTGCAGCACAGTAGGGTAACTGAGGCAACAATGCCACAAAAAGGAGTTTCCTGCTGAAACTCATGTGATTCTGCGGTGTGTTTCTTTAGGCCAAGTTGTCAAGTTGTCGTTCTCGGTATGGCTTTGATTTCATGCTGTGCCTTGTTGAAAGATGTTCAGAGTGGGGCAGACTCGTGGCAAGGAATGATGGCAAAGAGCAGGTGGAGACTGATCACCAGGAGGCCGTTGGAATGAAAACCAATGCTGGATAGCTGTCCTAAACTTTCTAAGAATTTTGCTGTAGACCACTCGTTTTAGTATGACCTTGCCACATCTCTTTAGCCGACTTTAGACCGTTAGTTTTTTTTTGGTGGGGGGGCAGGTCAATGAAGTGGCAAAGACTGAGGAGGCCAACGCATGTCGGGCAGAAAGTCCTCAGGAACCACCAGCTGAGGCACAATGTTGGGCACTAGCTGATGGTTATCCACATGTAAAAGTCCCGAGTATGGGTATTATTTGCCAATCTTAATTTGCTTACATATGCGTTGGAGCCATGAATTTCATTTACTGATCCTAAGTTTGTTCCTTCTACATGTACTACACGCGTGCCCATTTCCTTTCTTGGGACTGGGGCTTCAGATTTTAGCTTGGAAGAATCAAAGTTATGGCATGTAGGTGTTTTGAATTGTTTTGATGCGCAACATGTGGTTGTAAAACCATTCTCTGGAATGCTTCATGTGTAGACGGAGGATTTTGAGGCTTGTGGGCGGTCATGACTTTCTGGCAGATGTGGCTGAGTCTGGTGCCAGGCTCTGAAAGAGGTGGCAGAAGCAGAAAACGCCTCAACAACCACCGAATTGGAGCCGCTTTGCAGCACAGTAGGGTAACTGAGGCAACAATGCCACAAAAAGGAGTTTCCTGCTGAAACTCATGTGATTCTGCGGTGTGTTTCTTTAGGCCAAGTTGTCAAGTTGTCGTTCTCGGTATGGCTTTGATTTCATGCTGTGCCTTGTTGAAAGATTTTCAGAGTGGGGCAGACTCGTGGCAAGGAATGATGGCAAAGAGCAGGAGACTGATCACCAGGAGGCCGTTGGAATGAAAACCAATGCTGGATAGCTGTCCTAAACTGTCTAAGAATTTTGCTGCAGACCACTCGTTTTAGTATGACCTTGCCACATCTCTTTAGCCGACTTTAGACCGTTAGTTTTTTTTTGGTGGGGGGGCAGGTCAATGAGGTGGCAAAGACTGAGGAGGCCAACGCATGTCGGGCAGAAAGTCCTCAGGAACCACCAGCTGAGGCACAATGTTGGGCACTAGCTGATGGTTATCCACATGTAAAAGTCCCGAGTATGGGTATTATTTGCCAATCTTAATTTGCTTACATATGCGTTGGAGCCATGAATTTCATTTACTGATCCTAAGTTTGTTCCTTCTACATGTACTACACGCGTGCCCATTTCCTTTCTTGGGACTGGGGCTTCAGATTTTAGCTTGGAAGAATCAAAGTTATGGCATGTAGGTGTTTTGAATTGTTTTGATGCGCAACATGTGGTTGTAAAACCATTCTCTGGAATGCTTCATGTGTAGACGGAGGGTTTTGAGGCTTGTGGGCGGTCATGACTTTCTGGCAGATGTGGCTGAGTCTGGTGCCAGGCTCTGAAAGAGGTGGCAGAAGCAGAAAACGCCTCAACAACCACCGAATTGGAGCCGCTTTGCAGCACAGTAGGGTAACTGAGGCAACAATGCCACAGGAAGGAGTTCCTGCTGAAAATCTGTGATTCTGCGGTGTGTTTCTTTAGGCCAAGTTGTCAAGTTGTCGTTCTCGGTATGGCTTTGATTTCATGCTGTGCCTTGTTGAAAGATGTTCAGAGTGGGGCAGACTCGTGGCAAGGAATGATGGCAAAGAGCAGGTGGAGACTGATCACCAGGAGGCCGTTGGAATGAAAACCAATGCTGGATAGCTGTCCTAAACTTAAACTTTCTAAGAATTTTGCTGCAGACCACTCGTTTTAGTATGACCTTGCCACATCTCTTTAGCCGACTTTAGACCGCAGTCTTGTTTTGGGGCCAGGATGTTGTGAGAGTGCACTTTTTAATTGCTATTTTAGCATGACATGAATGTAGAAAATTATTGTCCTTGCTTCTTTGCATCAAATCTTATAATACTTTTGACATCTTTTGACATTAATACCGCAACATTGACAGATTTACCGCTCTTTCCACAGAGACGCTGCTTCTTCCAATATTCCTCCGACCTCAATTCTGCACATCATAGAATTCAAAGGCTGGACCGAAGGAAAATGCATACCATCGTCAAATGTAGCCCAAGATGGGATTGCTGACAATGACAACTGCGAAAATCGTCCCTGATCTTCAATATGATAGGCGGTGATTATACTATCCAATATATTGGGGATTATCAAAATCCAATAGGGGAATCCCTATTTACCAAGCAATATTAGTGGCTTTGCACTGACTAGAAAGGGGTCGATTTGGTTTAAATTGACCCACACATCCGCACCAACAGCATATCTCTAACATGGTATAATCATGGTATAATCATGGTATAATCATGGTATAATCATGGTAAATCCATGTGAAGCCTGCGTAATCCCAATTTAAATCACCATCCAGAGGAATCACCGTGAAATTGCACGAAATCACCATGAAATCGCCATAAACTCAGATAAACATGGAGATCCCCATGAAACCCCCCATCAACCGGCGTGGACGAAGGTGGAACGGGCGGATGCCAAGCCTACGCTGTATCCCCAGTGGGTACAATGGAGGACGACTATCAGGTTATATCAATAGATCTATGCAGGTGATGTGACTTTTCTATATGGGGATTTATATCTGTATATACTAATAGATTTATTCAGATCTATACTTTTTATACACACCTATATATATATATCTATTTATATCTGTATATTTAGACTCAGACCTTTACTTTTTTATACACTATTTTTCTATGCAGTATCTGTATATTAGTGTACGATGCTATTGGAATTTACAATGGGTCTGTATTAATGAACATCTTTAACTATTGACGCATCTACTCACAGGATTTTCGTGTTATATTTACACACATAAGCGCACATGGCTCATGGCTATGTTTTCCACTTCTTTATGCCTTCTGCTATGGACTTGTTTATGCTGCTTATACTACTTCATGGTGCATACCGACAGACAGAGATAGCTAGATTAGATACACAGGTAGTAGGTAGATAGCTAGCTAGATAGATAGGCAGATAGATAGACGGATAGATAGATAGATAGATAAGATAAGATAAGATAAGATAAGTTAAGTTAAGTTAAGATAGATAGATAATATTAGATTAGATTAGATTAGATTAGATAGGATAGATAGGATAGATAGGGTAGATAGGATAGATAGGATAGATAGGATAGATAGGATGGATAGGATAGATAGGATAGATAGGATAGATAGGATAGATAGGATAGATAGGATGGATAGGATAGATAGGATGGATAGGATGGATAGGATGGATAGGATAGATAGGATAGATAGGATAGATAGGATAGATAGGATAGATAGGATAGGATAGATAAGATAGGTAGGATAGATAGGATAGGATAGATAGGATAGATAGATCGATCGATAGATCGATCGATAGATCGATAGGATGGATAGGATGGATAAGATGGACAGGATGGACAGGATGGACAGGATAGACAGGATGGACAGGATGGACAGGATGGATAGGATGGACAGGATGGACAGGATGGATAGGATGGATAGGATGGACAGGATAGATAGGATAGATAGGATGGACAGGATGGATAGATAGATGGATAGATAGATGGAAAGATTGATGGATAGATGGATAGATAGATAGGATAGATAGATAGATAGATAGATAGATGGATGGATAGATAGATAGATAGATAGGATAGATAGATAGGATAGATCGATGGATAGATAGATCGATAGGTAGATAGGATGGATAGAAAGATAGATAGATAGATGGATGATAGATAGATAGATAGATAGATGGATGGATGGATGGATGGATGGATAGATGGATGGATGGATGGATGGATACATGGATAGATAGGATAGATAGGATAGATGGATAGATGGATAGATGGATAGATGGATAGATGGATAGATGGATAGATGGATAGACAGATAGGATAGGATAGGATAGGATAGGATAGGATTGATAGATAGACAGATAGACAGATAGACAGATAGATAGGTAGATAGGTAGATAGATAAGGTAGATAGACAGATAGATTAGATAGATAGATAGATAGATCGATAGATCGATAGAATGATAGATCGATAGATCGATAGAACGATAGATCGATAGATCGATCGATCGATAGATAGATAGATAGATAGGATAGATAGATAGGATCGATAGAAAGGATAGATAGAAAGGATAGATAGAAAAGATAGGATAGGATAGGATAGGATAGATAGGGTAGATAGGATAGATAGGATAGATAGGATAGATAGGATAGATAGGATAGATAAGATAGATAGGATAGAGAAGATGGATAGGATAGATAAGATAGATAAGATAGATAAGACAAATAGGATAGATAAGATAGATAGGATAGATAAGATAGATAGGATAGATAAGATAAATAGGATAGATAAGATAGATAGGATAGATAAGATAGATAGGATAGATAAGATAGATAGGATAGATAAGGTAGATGGGATAGATATGATAAATAGGATAGATAAGATAGATAGGATAGATAAGATAGATTGGATAGATATGATAAATGGGATAGATAAGATAGATAGGATAGATAGATAGATAGATAGATAGATAGATAGATAGATTAGATCAGATCAGATCAGATTAGATTAGATTAGTTTAGATTAGATTAGATAGATAGATAGATAGGTAGGTAGGTAGATAGATAGATAGATAGACAGATAGATAGATAGATAGATAGATAGATAAGATAGATAAGATAGATAAGATAGATACGATAGATACGATAGATACGATAGATACGATAGATACGATAGATAAGATAGATAAGGTAGATAGATAGATAGATAGATAGATCGATAGATAGATAGATAGATAGATGGATAGATAGGTAGGCTAGATAGCTAGATAGCGAGATAGGTAGATAGGTAGATAGGTAGATAGATAGATGGACAGAAAGATCGTTGGATAGATTGGATAGATAGAATAATGCATACATGGATGTATGGATGGGTACATAGAAGGAAGGGCACATAAATATATAGTAGATATATATCTATATATATATATGTAATTCATGCATGTATTCATATACATCCAACACACATCACACATCTCCAACCGGCAGGGTAGCCAAGAGCCACTCTGAGACCCCTGCCCCGGAGGCCAGGGTTGGTTTTTTTGGTCCATATCGGGCAGCCAAGAAACCAAGGGATTTTCACCAACTATAGTGGGAATATCATTATCCTGGAATTTCACCAGCTATTTCACTAATGTGGCTTGAGCTACTCATATCATTTCGAATAACCACAGGTTTAGCTACACCAGTTAAACTAGCGTCCCACCGGCAAGTTTGGCAAGTCGCCATCTATTTACCCTTGGCTGTCCCCACATAAAACCCTTGGTCAGGAAGTTTCTGCTTTCACTAGCGCAATTGCGACGTAGAATTCAATGTTGTTGTCTTTTTTTGATCCCTTCTGAAAAAGTTGCACAAACCCTGCTGCCAAAATACTACGAGCGAGCTTGCAGAAACAATGGGTAAGTAGACGCGTGGCATTGCCGAACCACCAAAAAACTGTTCAGATCCTAAATGAATATTGACGTCCCAACATATAAAACCCAAGCAGACCCCGAAGTTAAGATATCCCCTTTGCCTTGCTGGTTCATACCAAGGGCCGGTGTTGGCCGAGGATGCCATCTTACTCGACAAGACAAGAGCTGTTCTATGGCATAACTATAAAAATTATACTTGGCAAAAAGAGAAGGGAAAAAAACAAAAAAACGAAAAACAAAATGAAATGAAAGCGACACATGCCCTGCAAGAGCCTCTGGCTAGTTGCACTTGAAATGCATAGTGAAATAGGCACCCTCTTGACAAGCTTGAGGAAAACTCGTACATATAATTAGTAATTAATTCCATGAGTTAGGCGTTTCCAATCTGCTTCCATGCACAGCGGAGCTTCGTTCAGTTGATCTTAGCGTAGTTCCAGGACGTCTGCGAAAGGGTAAAACAATAATAAACCCTCCCCCAAATCACCTTTTTTATAGATGCTATGTTTACCCTTCCCAGTCATGGGTGGTTTATGGCATTGTTTTAACCACATTATTCATCATTATTCATCATTATTACCCATTATTACCCATTATTACCCATGATTACCAATGATTACCCATTATTACCCATTTTTACCCATGATTACCCATGATTACCCATGATTACCCATGATTAACCATTCTTAACCATCCATTATTAACCATTATAATGGAGATTTCACCAATATCATGGCTGCAGTTCGTGGTTTCACAGTTGGTCATGGCGCAGGTGAAGACGACCAGCCCCTTCAAGGCGGTTTCGCTGACCTGGGAAAATTGGGAAGTGACACGATCTATGATGATCTATGGTTAATCTATAGTCAATCTATGGTTAATAATGGTTAATAATGGCTAATAATGGTTAATAATTGGAGAAATCTCCATTATAATGGTTGATAATGGTTATTAAGGATTGTTAATAATTGTTAATAATTGTTAATATTGGTTAATAATGGTTAATAATGGGTAATAATGGTTAATAATGGTTAATAATGGTTAATAATGGTTAATAATGGTTAATAATGGTTAATAATGGTTAATAATGGTTAATAATGGTTAATAATGGCTAATAATGGTTAATAATTGGAATAATGAGGTTAAAATAATGTCATAAACCACCAATGACTGGGAATGGTAAACATAACACCTATAAAAATGGTGATGACTGGGGATGGTTTATTATTGTTTTAACCATATTACTGAAGTTTCTGGTGAAAGAAGTCCAAGTGTTGTTGTTAACTGATTTAAATTTCATGAACAACAACAATGTTCTGTTACACATATCCTACTTTCGCCCACTTGGGTGGCTGAGTAAACCATCAATACAGCTTTGCCTTGGTATTCGCAATCTGCTGGTGCTATGTTTTCGGCCTTGCTTTATCAATTACATAACAATTACATAACAACTACATCAATACCGAAAACACTCGGACATACGGTGGAAGGTTGCGAAATCCTGCACCACCAAAAGGATGGTTGAAAGCCTATAAACAATGGGATGTTTACCACCTATCAACTGGATTTCTGGATTTCGCAACCATCCACAGAATTACCAGCTATAACATAGTTAGCCAATTACTCTGGCCACTGTGTTCGCCAACTAATTGGACACCCTGCGATGGTAGTGATTGCCCCAGGTCCGGCAAGGGTCGCCTGGCATCCCCTTGCGCTGTATCGACATCCCCCTCGAGGCTGGAACACCAGAGGATAAAAAACATGATTTATCACCAAAGGATTGGCTTCCCAGTTTGAGTTTAATGCTTATGAACATTTATGAACTATTTCGTCCATTTTCGCACATGGCTTTGCGGAGAATGATCTTATGATATCTTATGTTGGCCCCGCATTGCAAATTGATGTTGGGTTTGTTGGACCGCAGATATCACCATTGGGGACACCAATCCGCTTCTGCATTGGTTTGTCAATGGGGACACCACCCAACCATCGTTGTGGTTTCCCTTACTGAAGCCTAAAGCATGCTAAAACCAGACGTTGTTGTCCTGGAGTGACGTTTGTTGCCCCCATGTTGGGACAACAGAACGGACTGTGGATGCAGACCCGCATTTTCAGAATATACCCTCTGGTAAACTAACATAGCTATTGAACATGACCATTTATAGTGGATTTACCCATTAAAAATCGTGATTTTCCAGTTCGCTATGTTAGTTTACCAGAGGGTACCTAGAATATCTTGAAATCAACATTTTTGGCGGCCAATCTTTGAAAAATCACAGACACCCAGGCCGCCAGCGGTACCTTAAGTGCCATGGAAGCAGCGGAAGCTGCCCTGGTTGCAGCAGCTGCTGCGCGGCAGGCAGAGGGCTGAGAGGGCTTTGCCATTTTTTTTTATTATACAAGATATATTAAGATATATAAGGTTTTGTCCCAATAAAATCAATAAACAGGGCGGTCAGTGATAAGGCAATGAACAATGGCATTGCGATTTGGGATATTGGATATCTCAGACCGTCTCAAAAATACCTTGCAACAGAAAGAATCCACACATTTTTAGATGTGATTTAAAACAGGAATTTAAATGTGATTTGGCTGATTGACACGGTGAGTTAATTGGCAGATGGAATTTAACCCAAATAGATGGGGAAAACCTTTATACGAAAAAATCTGGTAAACCATAGGCCCATTTTTCAGACGAAACCGTATGCATTTGTAACTGTGAACTGAAGCAACACCCCATTTTAAGATATTTTAACCATATTTATGCCCTAGTTATGTTTTTCCCCAGAAAATATGGGGATTTCAGTTTTCAGCCAACCACGTTTGATTACCAGAGGGTCGGAAACATGAGCAGGCAAAGATTGATGTCACTGATACATTTGCAATTATTTGCGTGTATATAGATATAGATATATAGATATAGATATAGATATACACACGATACATGCGTGGAATTTACAAATGCGCACGCACACATTCACACAGACACACGGGCAATGTACATGGTTATATACATATGTGCACATGCGATCAATCACATGCATACGAATGCGCACACGCACACACACAATCACACATGTGATTTACATATAATTACACACATAGGCATACATGCATGCATGTAGACTCCTATATTATATACAGACTCATACATACATACTCGAACACACACACACATACATGCATGCATACATACAAAAAAACGAAAGAAAGAAATAAAGAAAAAAAGAAAGAAAGAAAAAACAAAAAAGAAAGACAGAACGAAAGAACGAAAGAACGAAAGACACGACATACACGACATACACGGCATACACGACATACACGACATACACGAGATACACGACATACACACATACAAACGTACTTACATTCATGCATCCATGCATCCATCCATCCATACATCCGTACATCCATATATTTGCGGTGCATGCATGCAGGCATGCATGTATGTATGTATCCATGTAATGCTTGCAAGTATATACCTATGCATGCCATGCATGGAAATGCAATGCAGCAATGTCATGTTATGTTATACGATGTCATGTCGTGTTATATAGGTACGCGCATTTTCTTTGGCATATACGAGCATTTGTTGAAATTTGTATAGAAGGTTACCTGGCACCTTTAGTATAGATTCTTACATCAGCGACTGGTTTCCACATATTTTGCATTTTCCACCTGGCATACGGGATGGCGGTCCAGATGGGTCTCGGGCCTATCGCTCATCCCAAAATGGAATTGTCAAAATCAGCGGTTCCCTGGAGACACAGGTCGTGACTCATTCCTATTCATTCCTTTATATTTTCTCACGATCTATATGTTAGTAACTTTAAACATGCATATCCATGTATATAGTTATATATGCATATAATAACACACACACGCATATATATATATATTTATAAATATGTATACATATACACACACATATATATATGCACATCCATCTTACAATGTTTATTCATTTGCTGGTGGTACTCCTCCATCCATGTGTTCCATCCCCGCCATCGCCAGGCCAGTGTCCAGCAACTCCGGGGAGATGAGGTGAGGTTAAATGAGAAATGGGGATCGGTTAGCTGTGGATATGATAAAATGCTGCTGTGGCACTTTTTTTTATGTGTTTTCTGGGGTTGTTCGGTGATTTGTTGGCTGGTGTGTTGGGTGTTGACTGAGTTTGTGGGTCGTTTCATCCAAACGCACACTGTTTTACCCAGTCGAGTAGTGTGTGACCCACCTGACGACAGAGAAACCTAGTACGACTTACTGAGGAGGATAAAGCTGAAAAACACATGGAAATGATCTCAATCTCATGGTCACGATCCCCCACCATCCATCAGTGATTCCTTCAGAGACTTTTTGGATACCTGGATGCATAGCCAGGCCCTTCCTACAGCTAGGCGCGCAACTGGGGAAGGCTATGGTGGCCTTGTTTTCTGGTCCAGATGGCGACCCCCTGAGCAACCCAGGGTTCAGGGACATGTTGCATGAGCTCCCTAGATTTGGATGATTGAAGTGATGGAACCATGGTTTCTTCACGTTTCTTCCTATGTCCTACTTGGATGTTCGTTTGGATCTGACAGATGATCCCATCAGCAGCTGCCGGCCCCAAACATGCGAACAAGAAGACATGTCAGCACCAATTAGGGTCATTTGCAGTAGAGTTGGTCACCGATTTCATGGAATCCCATTTTTTCCCGGATGTTTCACCTTTTTGTTCCCAAAAGAACATCCATAGCTGTTTTCTGCAAATACCATGTTTAGCACCACCTGTTTTGAATTTTTCCTGCCAGGCACCCATTTCCCCAGCCTATGGATTCAGGAAGAGGTCCCCACATTGGCACCAGTAGGCGGCCAACCCATGGGCAGTGCCACCGGGCTTAGCCGCCCAGATGGCATGTTGGAGAGGCGTTTGCAAACGCTGTGCTTCAACCCATGGGAATAAGCTGGAGGTGCCGAAGGGGTATGGGCCAAGAGTTTCTCCAACCATGGAATTTTCAAGATTTTTTAAGACTCAAACTCAAAATCAGCAAGTTTTTGCCATCCCCACTTTTTAGAAGTGTACAGCTGGTACAGCTGTAAGGCTAGGAGGAAGAAGAATCGCACTTTTCCGCAACGAACTCTGGGTTGTTTCGCCACCAGGACCACTACGTCCTGGGAAAATCAGTGGGAACTGGTGCCTTTTGCACAGTCTACCTGGCCAGCTGCAAGAAAACGCAGAATCCCACGGCCGCACCTCGGAGACGACCGGTGGACCATGGTGGACCGGCGACCGCTGACCGTTTTTGTTCCTGTTTTGGTATTTTTTTGGGTGCTGGGATGAGGGATGGCTGAGTTGTGACGGTTCTTCTTTTTGCGACAATAAGATCAATAAAGGATACAGCAATTCAACGGATCCATGAGACATGGATAAACATTGGGACTTTCTGTTGGATGATGAACTTTGAAATCATGACAGTTGGGATGTGGGCGCATCTCGCAAACTCTTCTCCCTATGTCTATATTCATTTGTTTATATACTGAGTTACGCATTAACATGTATTGCGATGTATTCGGTGTATTTTGTATTATTTTGTTACATTCGTAGAATGATGTAGATACAGGCTTTTTGGTATGCATTGATAAGAGGACACATTGATGTAACAGATGCATGTTTTGGAGGGCCATTTATTTGGGGCATTTTTTCGAGTTTAGTTGTTTTTTTTTGGGATTCCTCTCTCCTTTGTACTGTGCCGTTTTTCTGCTTTTTTGCTTCTCTGCTTTTCTTGCTTTTCTGCTTTTTTGCTTCTCTGCGTTTTTTTGCTTTTCTGCTTTTTTGCTTCTCTGTATATATTCTTGCTTTTCTGTTTTTTGCTTTTACGCTTCTTTGTTTGCTTCTCTGATTTTTTTGCTTCTCTGCTTTTTTGCTTATCTGTTTTTTTTTTTGTTTCGCTGTTTTTTGATTTATATATGCTTTGTTTGTTCTGCTTTCGTTGCTTTTTGTTTTTCTATTTGCTTCCTTGTTGTTCTGCTTGATTACAAGTTCAGCTACAACATGCTACAACTACATGACGAACAGCACCAGCAGCACAAACAACAAGAGGAGCAAATACAAAAGGAGCAACGAGAACAACAAACGCAACAAACGCAACAAGAACAGCAAGAGAAAGATTGAACAACTACAACGGCAAAGGGGGAACACAACCGAAGTTGTCTCTGTGTTCCTTGGGGGGGGAGGTATTGCCTCCCCCCCATGCCCACCTCCAGCTGTTTTTTTTGTTGTTGCGTGCTTTCGTTTTTGCCCGTTTGGGTTTCTTTGCATTGGTGTAAAGACCATGATGTAGATGAGCTGGTTAACAAGTTATATAAGGTTTCACAATGCTTCAATTATTAACCAAAATGGAAAGTCACCATGCAAAATGGAAGGTTGAAGTTCAAAAATGGTGCAGTCTATCTTCCATATGTCGCAGATGGCATGCAAAATTAGAGGTTCTATCTCCACAATGCAGGTTGATGTTGCAGAATGCTGAACAATGGCAAAATACCACGCAAACTCTGTTGTTTGTTTCTCTATGTTTCTCCGCTTTTTTGGCCTTGATAGTTTCGCCAGTTTTCTTTCTTCTTGGTTTTGCAAAGCTTTAAGGGCTTCTTGGCTTTACCAACAGCAACTACAACAGCAACAGTAACATCAATATTAACAACAAAAAACTACTATTACAACAACCACTGTAGCTACAACTGCCAAAAATTACAACAGCTAAAACAACTACATCTGCAACAACAGTAACGAAACAAACAAGAACCCGCAACTATATCGGACAGCATTATATCCAGATCATACATGATCATACCCTCCATATCATCCCACATCCATGGTTCATTGGTTAAAGTTAAATCCCTAGTTTCATGGTCAAATTCCATTTTATGGTTAATCCCTATTTTAACCCTCTTTTTTATCCAAATTTTAAGCATTTTGATGATTAAATCGCATCTCCAGCAGCCATCTCCGCATCAAACATCGGTGGTTGTGCTCAAGGTAAAGGTCTTCGAACGTGGCGAGGGCCCAGACCATAATGGGCCCGAGGTGGCCTTCCACAATGAGAAGCGGATGCTGCAGCCACCTGGTGTTTCAATTCCGAAATATTCCGGTGCCATCTTTGTATAGCACGTAGGGTGCATTCAGTAGGTCATTGACCATCTGATTTTTTGAGTTTTTCCACTTTGACCCATATGTATTATTATGCTTCCATATGTGCCATGTTGAAAAGTTGGATTGGATTAACCAATATCTTGGGAGATGGTCATAGAGATTTCCACCCCCCCATACGGATGACCACTATGGGATGATCCAGGTGCTCCAGTTCCATACCAACTGAGGTTGGTAAGTCATCCAAACGTCATCAGTTTGGTGGATGCCTTCGAAGATGCGCGTGCCTTTCAGCTGGTGGTGGAATTCTGCGGCGGCGGGGAACTCTTCGACAAGGTGACAGCAGGGACGATGCACCTGTCGGGTCTCTGGATGATCATTCGGGAATTTGTACCCTTTGGTAATTTAACATAGCTATTGAACATGACCATTTATAGTGGATTTACCCATTGAAAATGGAGATTTTCCATAGCTATGTTAAATTACCAGAGGGTACCAACGGTGCCCCAAAAAGGCGTTTACCGCAAAAACCATTGGTTTTGCCACGCAAAAAGGATTGAATCCCTTGGCCACCGCAGCGTGATTCGCTATGGATTTCGCTTGGCAGGTGTTGGACGATGGAGCGATCACCGAAAGGCAGGCTGCGATGCTGATGAAGCAAATTTGTTCACCCTTGGCCTTTATGAAGCTCGGCCGGATTAGCGGCGACAAGACCTCCATGGAACATCTCCCGCCAATTGCTGATCCAACTAGCCTTGTGCGAAGCGCTGGAAGAAGTCATGTGGAGCATGTTTTCAGACTGCTGTTGTGGTTGTCATGTTCTGTCAACATCAGCTTCTTTGCAAAACAAAGTTCTTGGGCCATATGAAACAATATGAAACATTCCATTTCATCCATGGTTGACATTCCCTTTCATCCAGCCTCCCAGCCGACCTTGGCTCCAGCGGCATTCCGGCTCTGGAGGCACAAGGTACATGTCTGCCACCGCGACCTCAAACCAGAGCATTTCTTATTGGCGCGCAGTGGGCCCTTGGACGCGGTGCCGCTGATGCTTGGCGGTCTTGGCCAACATGGGCCCTCTTGGGGTAAGGCTTGTAAGGCCCATGGTGCCGCCATGGCGCTGACTGATTCATGATCAATTTTCAAAAGAAACACGGAAGAAAGATGAAAAAAGGTGTATGGAATTGCCTGTTTTGGAGAGGGCCTCTGTAGTTTTTCTATGTTTTTCTCCTTTGATTCAGGCGAGCTCGTGAATTGCACCCTCATGGAAATCCCTTCGAATAATGTTTATGTGATTGTGCGCATCGGCAATGATACCCAGATCTCTCCAAAATCATCCAAAATCGCACAACCTCCAACGCCTCCTGAAAACAGAAATCCCCATATGACATCATTCAATACTACTTCATACCAAGAAGTCAACCTTTTTTATCCTTTTTCAAGGAACCAAAGCTGAGATGCAGCAAACATTTCAGATTTCACTTCAGCTTTGGTACATGGAGGTTTCCATAGGTTTCCTAAAATGGGGGTACTCCCAAATCATCCAAAAAATTGCAGCATTTTAGTATGAAACACAGCATCGATTTGGAAAACCTACCATGTTTTAGATCATTTTCCTAGAGGATCCATGGGGTTTTCCATAGTTTTCCAACCAGCGAATGTGCATATTTTCCATAGGTTTTCCCTATCATTTTCCTACAAGGTGGTACCCCCCCAGTGATGTTTGTTGGTTTATAATCCCCATTAACTATAGATATAACCCCCTAATCAACCCTAGATATTGGACTTATTGGCACCAATTTAGCTAACGAACTGGGGCATCATTTTAGGCTTTCCCCATCCATTTTCCTAGGGTTTCCCATGGTTTCCCCATCATTTTCCCATTTTTTCCCATGTTTTCCCATCATTTTCCTAGGGTTTCCCATGGTTTCCCCATCATTTTCCCATTTTTTCCCATGTTTTCCCATCATTTTCCCATTTTTTCCCATGTTTTCCCAGGCTTTCCGTTTCGTTTCGTAACCGGCGCCCAGGAAGTTGATCGACTTCGGCTTGGCCACGAGCTTCACCCCCGGCGCCAAACTCACCGATTGCCCGGGCACAGTGATGTACGTGGCGCCGGAGACCTGGGAAAAAGCAAATGGCATGGCATTTCTCCATTTTGGCCATGGAAAAATTGGGAAAAATCGGTGATCTAACCATAGGAAAATGATGGAAAATGCTGGTGTAACCATGGGAAAATGGTGATCTAACTAGAAAAATGCTGATCTAACCATAGAAAAATGCTGGTGTAACTGGTCGACCATCTGAGATGGATACCAAAATTGGGATAGGAATGTGCTACCCAGCGAAATGTTCACAGTTTGCCACGGAAAATTACCATGCCCTAATCTGAGACAACATTGGACCAAAGAGATCCAAAGAGGCCATTTTCCGTAGCTATGTTAAATAACTGGAAGGCACTTCCCCAAAAAAGCGTCTCTCTGTGTGTGTGGGCGTGTTTTTTTTTTTTTGTGTGTGTGTCTCAAAGTGTTACAATATGTTCCAAATTATGTTATTTAAACATGGGAGAAGATGAGGCGAGGGTTCAAGGATGTTCCAAGTTTAAAGACTTGTTGGGCGCTGGGTCAAGCGTTGGCTCTGTTACCTGGTGTTCGCCGGGTTTCCTGCATCAATCGCGATATGGCCAAACATCAGCCAGACTTCGGGTTCTAAGCCAAGTTTGGCAGATTTACATGTCGTTGATTGCAATCAGCAGGTTCTTGCGAGAGGGAATACCTTGAAGCATTGAGAGCTTGGAATCAAACATGGTTTGCCGGAAAAAAAAATCATTTATATAGTTCAATGATTTTAATGCTTTTCCAAGATCTCAGCAATAAACCTCCATTTAGCTCGGGGATGGGGGGGTTTCCCGCCATGTTTGATCCGAGGAAATCCTGACCCAGAGCTATGAGCCTCCGGCCTGCGATCTCTGGAGTTTCGGTGTGGTGGTGTGCCTTGACACCAACGGTACCTTTAAAAAATCACCTCTGTGGCCAAATTTAATGCAAATAAAATGCAAATTCAAGATATACTTACCTCATAATCTAGATCATTTTTTAATATATTATATATATATATAAACCCATTTGATTCTAACTTATCGTTATAGTTATAGTCATAGTCTAATCTCCTTAATTATATATCGTTATATCAGTTTTGCCATCTGACCACCCAGGTTCTTGATGCTGAGCGGGGTGAGCCCCTTTGACTCTTGGCATCTCCGAAGATGGCTAGGAACATCATCTGCAAATTGGATATTCCAAAATATTTCAAGATGAGTTCCAAGAGTATGATGTATTTATGGCTAGGAATATCATCTGTAAATATTTCAAGTATATTTCAAGTATTGAGTATGAACATATGTCATTGATGAATTTGGGACGCTTATGAAACTCATTGCCAGCTAAATTCTTTTCAGGGGATGACACCACCAAACGGTTAAACGGATGATGAAATAGTTTCTACCAGGAGAATCATTGAGGACATGATTGAGATGATGCACCATCTGTTAATTCCTGTATAGCTATAAACCTACGTATATATACAGTATATATACAGTATATATAGAGTTTAAACATTCCCTCCAAACATTCTTGAAACATTCAACAAATCAACATCCAGATGTGGTGCTTCAGTAGATTTGATCAGAGGGAGCCATCTTGACACTGATTTGATCAGCCGAGGATGCTGAGACCGCGAAGCAGGTGGCCAAAAATGTCCGGAAGGTGAACTACTCTTTCAGCGTCCCTCAGATCGGTTGGGATTCAACTGATTGAACCAGCCGGGAACCAGGGTTGATGGTTGGGTTGATGAAGGCGTAAATTTCACCACGTAGAAATCAATGGCGAAACTTCACCATCGAATCTGTTGGGGTTCCACATGGTTCCAATCCGCTGGGGTTGGTTGAATACCCATGAAAAGTTGGATGAAACCAATAGAGAACATACGGATTGAACTGATTGAAGCATCAAAGGTGAAGACATGAAAACAATTGAAAGCAAACAATGATGAACGGTGATGAAACATGGTGAAGCACTGCAGAGACAATAGCCATTTGAACCAACGACATTGGACGTAACCAGGCGGGGTAATAACAGGGCAGGCCGTGCATCCAATTTGTTGTAAAGCTATATCAGCTGTTGTTACTATTAGTCTATTCCAGTATTGCTATTTACCATAAATGTTATTGCTATTCATTGCTAGTGTCAATAATTATATATATAATATATATTCATTACTTTTCAGTGCTAGTTGTTGCCATTATATTACTATTGCAGTTCTTACAATAGTTATGCTGTAGTTCTTACAATAGTTATGGATGTCACTATAAATTCTGAAAGCAATGCCCTAAACCATCCATCATTTCGACGCTTTATAATGCTTTATACATGTTTCTAGCACCTGAAAGGGGTAAATTCAAACGGGTACATTTATGGGGATTACATGGGGATTCTCCATGGTAAGTTCCCAGCAAGGCGCGTAGCTGGGAGGAGGTCAGCCAGGACGGCCGTGCCTTCATCGCGGCGCTGCTGCAGAAGGACCTGGCGCAGCGGCTGACGGCGGCGGAGGCCTTGGACCATCCGTGGCTCAAGGATTTGGCGCCCAACTCCTCGGAGCCTTGGGCGGACCTGGAAGGCTTGGGATGATTTTGGTGGAGAAGATATAGGAAGCCCCAACAAAAATGGCATAACATCTGGAATGTTGGCCGATTTTTTTTTTGGAGAGCGGGGGACCATGGGGACGTGATTTTTGAATGAGCATGAGCATAAAACACTGTAAATAAATACCGATGTTTTCTGCATCTGATGGCTCTGAAACCTAGGCGAAACGCAATTTTTTGCATCTTGTTTTGTAATGATGCTCGAAAAACATTGGCAGGCACCAAAAACAAAAAAAAACAAAGCACAATCTCACAAAACATTGACATGCACCAAAAAAAGCAAAAAGCAAAAAGCAAAAAAAAAAGATTTCCAACCTATGGGGATCCAGAGTCCTGAGTAGATGATGGGATTTTGCTTTTTTGTTTTTTTTGATGCCTGTCAGGGTTTGGTGCATCTAGTGTTTTTTTTTGGTGCCTGTCAATGTTTGGTGGCTTTGATCTCTCAAAACACTGGCAGGCACCAAATAAACCAAAAACAGCAAAATCCCATCATCTACTCGGGACTCTGGATCCCCATAGATTGGAAATCTTTGTTTTTTTTGTTTTGCTTTTTGCTTTTTTTTGGTGCCTGCCAATGTTTTGTGACATTATGCTTTGTTTTTTTTTGTGCCTGTGCAGGCTTGATGGGCTTGTTTGATGTTGAAAAGGAAAGAACGTATTTACAATGTTTTGTGCTCATTTTCATGCAAAAATCACGCCCCCATGGTCCCCAAAGGAAATCACCGGAAACAGTCGGCAAGTCGTGCTTTGCCAAGTGGCCGTTCCAATCAAGTCTAGCTAGATAGGCTTAGTGACAGTGAGTAGCAGTATGATGGAAAGTGCTGAGATCTCCTTTGATCACGCCCTTAATGCAACCAATGCCCTCTACATCCGCCCTCTTCGCAAACCCAATGTGGTGGAAATGCCCCCAGGGGTAGTGAAGCCACAGGATTTGCTGTTAGAGCCTATCAAGGGGAATGTGAAGTTGAAACACCTCTTTGACATCATTGGTGAGGTGAATTTCCCTGAGGCCAAACGAACCAAGATCACCAACACTTGTTTAACAAGGTAGGTTCCACGATCTTGCAGAACCCTTTCGTTTCAAGAAACCACCAGAAATGCAAGTTGAGTACCAGCTACCTGGGTTTGTTTAAGTTATATATTTTTTCCTTTTCCTATGGATTTATCCCCCTTTGGGAAGTACATACTTAATTTCCAGGTATCTGAGGTTAGCAGCTTTACCAACATCCGATGGGAAGCACTTTGTCTTGAAGCATGTGATCTTTCGGGACCTTGCCAAGACTGACTTTGCAAAATCTCTTTGTTACGGTGAGTGTCACACCGTCATGTGGCATGGCAATGCCAAGAACACCAAAAAAGCCCTGCAGTACATTTTTGAAAAGATGGGAGGCTTCCAGGTTCAAAGCCTGCTGGTGCCGCGCCTTCGGAAGGTAAGGTGAGCTTCTACACCGGTTTGAGTGAGCAAGATATTGATGAAGATTTTGACTACATCGAAAAGCAAGGTCCCCAAACCTACCACTCCAACACGCAACTCCGGTGGATTCAAAGCAGTTCATTAGTGAAGATAGTCCAATTCATCATTGGCCAGAGCGTTTGATTAAAGAGGCTTTGCGGAATTTGATGAACAACGGTGTTCTTGCCCTACCTGTCTATGACTTTCCCTTGACATGGGTTGACGTGGGGCCTGGTCTTTTGATCATTTTGGAGAATTTTTTCCCCTCCTTCACTGACAAGGCCTTAGGCATGCACGGAGTTCCCAGTGTTGGAAAGACCCCACCATAGCAATGGCTATCTCCGGGTACTGTATTCGCAAACTGGGATCCAATTGTGAGGCTGGGTTTTGTGAGGCTTGTGAATTTGACTTCTTTCGAGGTGAGGCTGGACGTCAGGAAATGCTTGATATCTTTGATGATGGGTCCTTGCCATTGCTGCCTATGAGGAAGTTGAAAGGTTTTTGTGATGTAGGAAACGCAATGTTGACCAAGGAGAGGTGGGCAATTCCGTCTCTACATTTCCAATGATGTCGACTTGGTTCCTGAGCCTTCCGGCCCGGTAGATCTACCATCTTGACACATTCCCAATTCATGGCGATGCTGGAGCCTGCTTGGATGAAGGGTTCCTCTCTCAGTGACGTCCTTGCTGTGCTTAAGCGTACCAACATCTTGACCATCACCAGCAACACACTCTACTACAGGCGTGCCACAGAGGAGGAGGTATGTGTACAAGGTGTCTTGCTCAATGAGTCTAAGTTTCTCCTTTGCCAGTCTGGTGGTGTGAAGTACATGGCGTATCGTAAAGGCAACCGGGATGTTCCAGAAGACCTTGCCAAGCATTTGAAGTGGGAGGAGGCTTGGATGAGAAGTGTGATGGAAAACAAAGGCGCCTTCAAACCACCAATGCCTGTGGAGATTTCTACCTCCCCCCCTTTTTCAGAAAAGACTACAGTGACTCTCTCGGGTTGCTCTTTCAGAAGGTGATATAGGACCAGGTGTCAAGCGTGAGAACGTGTCCTTCCTCCAGCCCTTGCGTCAAATGGTTCCTGGTACATGCATTGACCTGGGCATGACTCCCCCACGAAAACGAGAAAGGTGACAACAGGTGATGTCAAAGTCAAGCAGGAGACCAGTGGACAAACCAAAAAGCCCATCAACTATGGCTTGGTTAATTTGGTATCTGATGATGAGGATCCCTTGGCAGCTCCAATGTCTTCCACGACGGCAGCCCCCTGTAGCCCACCTTTGTACATTGAAGGTATGAACATGGAGGAGTTTGAAGATGAGGATGTCTTTGGTCATGGTGATGGAGCTGATGGACCCTGATGACTTCTTTAGATGAAATATCATGACAGAGGCTGCTTGAATAGCTAGTAGTAAGCCGTGAATTTTTGATCAACACACGCCCTGGCAATGGAAAAGCATGACTACAGAAAAGGTGATGCGGAACCCGTCCTTTCTGCAAATATGTTTGCAGCACACTGCATCTCATACATGTTGCATTGATGCTCTGCTTTGCTATGACTTTGCTGTGTCTGCCCCGTGGATTGAATGTGAGCCTAGGGTAGGGTCCCAAGTATGCTTGTTAAAAAAACGTCCGGCTAGTTTGATGTCGAAGGGGCATGTGTGTATGAGTTCCGTCTCCTCGCGCGCTTGTGGCTCCCAATGGCAAATGTCACACAATCACAAGATCCAGCCACACAATCACTAGATTTCAGCCACCTACTACGACCTCAATGGCAAGACATGGCAAGACAAAACTCCTTGTGGAAACAAAGAAATACCGTGAGTGCAGCATGATCTATGGCCCCAACTTTCGGAATCGAAATGGAAGCTTCGTGATCAACAGCGTCAAGATTTCTGAGATGGCATTGGACGCAATTTATTTGTGAACAACAAGGTTGGCTTCACCATCAGGTTCCTGAAATACCACACCAACTTGTTCTTCAGGTGTTGTAGTAGTGCTCGGGGAGTCGAATTTGCCTACCAGAAGCCTTTCTTTGACAACATGGATGATGAACCTCAACCTCTTCACTATGACTTTAGAAAACTATGCTATGAAGCGCTTTTCTACTACATGGTAGGCCTCGAATGGGAAAACTTGGGTTCGAACACACATACTAGCCTAGTGATTGGCGACGAAGTAGATGAAACACTTTTGGCAGAGTATGACTTGCATTGTCATCAAACTCTTCTCCCTCCAAGTCGCCCAAAGAAAGTCACAGGTCTAGTTGGAGATGGTCACCACAAGGTTTTGGTGAAAAGATATGGGACTGAGGTTGCTGAGAACAAAAGGCATGTAGGTCGATCCCGTGAGGATGGCAATGAAAATCGAGGTCATGGGCATGGGTGGTTTATGTTGATCGATCATAGTTGCAGTCGAATTGTAGGAGTTGTTAGACAAGATGAGCTAGAGGGAAGCAAGGTGGTCACCGCGTCCTTGTTGAAGAAGCTGGCCCTACTACCCGAATGTTGATCTCCCCTTCTTGGACCGATGTTGTCACTACAGGCCGTCTGCAAAGAAAACCAATAGATTGGAGCAACTCAAGTACTTTAGCTTGGACAGGTTTCATTCCTATGGTCACTCCAAGTCTTGCCCTTGCAATCCCCTTTCCAAGGCCCGATTGAAGAAGGGCATTCATGGCTTGAACACTTCCATTGCTGAACATACCTTCTCCTGGGAGTTCTCAACGAAATGCGGCCCCTTCGCCATCGATTTGTAGTACTCCTTTTCTGCAAGTGGCGCAACAATTTGGTTTCGTGTGGCGACACCCAGCACTTGAACCAGTACAAGATCCCAAAAGCAACAGGCCATCTAAGCCCTATGAATGCAACAAAGGCAAGGGAAAGCAGAAGGCAATGAAGAACATGAAGTCCCTGAAGGGCATGAAATCGATGAAGTCCATGAAGAAGATGAAGGGCATGAAGATGATGAAGGCCATGAAACCAATGAAAGCCATGAAGTGAGAGATGCACTTTTGGTAGATCAATTTTGTTACATGTGTAGCTTGAGGTTTTGAATCTATAGCCTGTAGCTAGCAGACATGTTGTTGCAACCAGTGGCAAAACCATGCATGTCAGTCTTTGGTGCCATGTCTGCATGTGGGATATTGGGATGATTTCAGATATATACCCCTTATTGACCCTTATGCCAGAAAATCCTGATTGTCGTCCATGCATAGGGGAGGTGATTTTCGCTGTAAAACCTAGGTTTTGGACCCCTTTCCATCACAAAACGATGTAAAATTTCATAACGGTTTTGAAGCAAAAATCACGTCCGCAGGAAACCCCGTTCTGATTTTTTTTTGGGGGTTGGATTTGATGCTAATTTCTAGTTTCTGCGTGTTTTTTAAAATGTGCGCCTGGAAGAAAAAAGTGAGCGGTGGGGTCGTCACAGATGAAAATACGTTCAGGTTTACCGTTTCAGAGCACACAAAGTGGAAAAATGCCGTGAGTTGTGTTTTTTATTGGATAAAATACGCTCAAAAAAGCT